ATGTGAACCGCCCAGAGTCCCCCACTGGGGGGAGATGGGCGGGGGGAAATTTAATAAATAAACAAACAAACAAACAAACTTCAAATTGAATTCTTTTTTTAGATTTTTTTTCCCCACCTTTCTTATTTTTATAAATAATTTGCGGCGAACATAACTAATTCTCCTTCCTCCTCCTATTTCCCCCACAATAACAACCCCGTAAGGTCAGTTGGGCTGAGAGAGAGAGGAACTGGCCCAAAGTCACCCAGCCGGCTTTCATGCCTAAGGCGGGACTAGAACTCACAGTCTCCTGGTTTCTAGGCCGGTGCCTTAACCACTAGACCAAAGTGGCCTAACCAGTAGACCAAACCCTAATTCACAACAATGACAATATAAAGAATATAATATAGATTTCAAAAATCATTTTATTAGATGTGCCATCTTGAGAATTTGGAAAAGACATAAATCTAGATAGTGTCCAAAAACAGTTTTACAGCTATCACCAGAAGATGCATAATATAGAAGAGAAATGGTAATTAAGCAGAAATGGCTAACTTATGGCAATATTTTAGATTTCTACCAGGGTGAACTTAAAATAAAATCAAGAGAAGACTTGATATCAGAAGGTTATATATGTCAATGGTTTTCATATGTACAATTAGTAGAAAGATTTAAAGTTGATAAAAAGATATACGGTTGTGATAAAACTGTATTTGAAATTGAGCTATGTACCAATGATGAACATCTTATTGCTAAAATGTATAAACTTTTGTTGAGATTTGAAACAGAAGATGAACAAGATTGTATGATAAAATGGGCTAAAAATTTCCATTTCTTTTTCTATACTTTTGCTTTCCTCCTTTCTCTTTATTCTTTCTTTTCTTTTATTCTTTTTGTTGATTATTAGTTCTTGTTAGTTTTTATCTTTCTGTTTTTGAGATTTAATAAAGCTGTCATAAAAAATGAAATTCACAAGTTAATATGCAAGTTTCTGAGGGTCGGAGGAGGAAACGGAAGGCTAAGTGCTGAATGCCGATTGGGCAGCACAGCAAGCCAATCGGCGAGCAGCAGCAGCTGAGTATTCTACATCATAAAGAAAGCAAACGGTCTCAGGCTCCTGAAGGAAGGTCCAGCTGTAGGTACAAAGGGGGGCGGCGGGGGAGAAATTGGGTCAGGCTCTTGTGGGGTGCACTGCTTCTGCCCTGCTCAGCCCCGGGGGCAGACCTAGGCTCTGCAGGCTGGCGAGGGACTCCTCGGCCAGCGGTGGGGGAGGGATGGAGGGGCAGTCGAGGAGAGGGCGAGTTGAAGGTTGAGCTTTTGGCCAGGCGGTTGGGGCTTGGAGGGCCCCGCAGGCGGCATTTTCCTCGCTGG